CTGCGTGGATCGTACTACTGGCCCAATATGAGGCGAGACCTTGTTGACTCGTACATCCCCTCGTGCAGCGAATGTATGAGGAATAAATCGAAAACAACGGCTACAACAGGCCCCTTGCACCCGTTACCTATTCCAGACGGTCGTGGCGATTGCGTCGCGGTAGATTTCATTGGACCGCTACCAGAGGACAACGGCTTTAATATGATTGTTTCAATGACTGACCGTTTGAACGCTGATATTCGTCTCGTTCCCTGTAGGGATAATATCTCGGCGGAACAATTCGCAGGTCTATTCTTTGATCATTGGTTCTGCGAGAATGGGTTACCTCAAGAAATTGTATCAGACCGCGATAAGCTATTCATATCTCGTTTTTGGCGTGCGCTTCACAAACTAACTGGTGTAAAATTAAAGATGTCTTCCTCGTATCATCCTGAAACCGACGGAGCGAGCGAGAGGACGAACAAGACCGTTAATCAAAGCTTACGCTACTACGTTGATCGCAACCACAAAGGCTGGGTTCGTGCACTCCCGCGAGTACGGTTTTATCTCATGAACTCGGTAAACGCGAGCACGGGTTTCTCACCGTTTCAACTTCACCTTGGGCGCTCACCCAGAATGCTGCCGCCATTGCTCACCACGCCTGCCTCAAATGACTCTGAAGAAGAACGCGCGCGAACTCTCATCTCGCGACTCAAACATGACATTATGGAGGCACAGGACAACTTACTCGCTGCCAAAGCAGCTCAAGCTACAAACGTTAACAAGAACCGCGCTCCTGCACTCACGTTCAATGTCGGTGATCGTGTGATGCTCGCAACCAAACACAGGCGGAGAGAGTACATGCAGAAGGGTGATAAAAGAGTTGCCAAATTCATGCCGAGATACGACGGGCCATACGCTATACTAGACGCACACCCCGAAAGCTCCACCTACACTCTCGACCTCCCTAATTCTCCCAACATCTTTCCAACGTTCCACGTCAGCCAATTGCGGCCCTATCACGCCAACGACCCTCTTCTGTTCCCCACACGAGAACACCCTCGCCCTGGTCCTGTGGTAACGGAAGACGGCCAACTAGGGAACTTCATCGAGCGGATTATCGACGAAAGAAAGATCGGCAGAGGAAAAAGGTACCTTGTGCGTTGGGTTGGATTTGGAGAAGAGGACGATGAGTGGCTGCCCCGCAAGGATCTAATGGACTGTGAAGCACTCGACGTTTGGGAGAAAGGACGCTCTGAAGGATGATGGGAAAGGGTGTAAGCATACTGCTTACCCGCATGTGAGTAACGCGTCATACACGTGATCCGCGTGATCCGCTGTTGATTGGACACCGCGTTATGATTACATATGTTTGGCTATTAACATGGATCCGTATATATCCTACTACTGATGTACTGATACCTCACCTCTTACCGTACCTCGAATCCCACACGCTCTTCCACGTTACTGCTTCCTGACTGCCCGCCAGTGTTCTCTGTCTACTGTGACAGGGTTCCATAAACGAAGGAGATTGGAAGACGGCGAGCGATCTAGCAGCTAGCGTATCAAGAAGCCCGAATGCAACAGCATCATGTGTGCTACTACTAGTAGGGCCGCATGCACGAATCAGCCTGCTTCACGAAGCTCTATAATTGGCCACTACTCATAACACCCAATGTATGACACTACGACACACTCAACAAATTACGTTCCATGCAGAGCGCCTGATAAGTGTAGATCACCCAAAGTGTTTCCTCTGCTGGCTACACATAAGTACCAGTTGACTCGCGTACGCGTTCCTGGAAAGCAATTGTGCTCATGTGAATCGTTTCGTCACAGTCTGCCATGCCCTTGGCGTGATATTCTCGAACACTAAGGATGAGGCGTGGTCCCAGTACAAACATCTGCACGGCCTGGGCAATTTGAAGAATGCCATAATAGGCGTCAACTCCCAAGGCAGATGAACCCTGAAGAAACGATGAGAAATGATCAAATGTAGGTATCAGCTACGGATGAGCATACCCCGATGTTCGGAGAGAGACCGCCGAGGTTCAAGCAAGCAACAGCAGCATATCTGGTACGCACGAAATTCAGTGGGAAAGAATAATCACGTTCAACTCGTAGACTCACGCTGTAAAGTAGATTATGTGTGTTTGTATTAAGACCGTGAGGTAATTCCCGATAGTCGATCTTGCTGATGTCCGTTGCAGTTCACAGAGGTGTTTTAAAGTAGTCCAGACTGCAAGACATAGGGCGAGAACCTCCCATGCAGTGGTGAGAATCCAAGTTTCGGTCGTCAGGCGTTGATTGCCTCCGTCAAAACTGCACTGATAGGTTCCGGAGAGGACGATCTCCACTGATATTCGTTGCATAAGACTGCTGAACTAAAATCATTCATAAAGCTTACCCCCCGAAACACGGCTGCTCGCAGCAACCACAGCGCATGTGATATTGACAGCCAGGAAGAATACAACGAGAAAGATGAGCATCTTTCTGGATCGCTGATACATAGCATATAATCGAGTGATCATGATGACTAGGATAGGCATTTAATTCGAGTCGGTATCGTTGGTAAGGTATCATAGTCGAGTAACTCACCGCCCAGCATGGCATTTACGACGACTGATATCCAGCTTTGGAAGTAGTAAAGGATAGTGCCTGAAATATACAGTCAGTGACTTGGTTATGAGCTTCGATGCTTCCAAGAAACCTACAGCTGCGCAGTTGTTATGAACGAGCAGTCTAGTCCAAACTTTCACCCACCTCTGTGTAGAAAACCATTTGGACGGGAATGGTAGATCGGCGCAGAACACTCACTGTATCTGTCAGCGAGACTGACGTGATAGTCCCTGCATACTATCAGTCACAAAAAATGACCTAGGAAGACTGACGAGACATACACAACATGGTGACGCTGATAGCGAGCGATGGCTGATTAGTACCGGGCTAACTTGTGAGCCTTGCAAACGTACACAGAGAACATTATTCCAGCACAACGCAGCTAGAATTTTTGTGAAGTCAGCACAGCTCCCCAGTGAACGCTTATAAAATGCTTTACACTTAGATATAATATAGTCATCAGGGACCAGCGTTTCCTCTGCCCCGAATTAACTTTATTATATGATTGTCCCTCTGGTAGGAACTCTGCTCACCCAGACCAGTTCAATCTGTAAAACAGTTCTCAGTGAGATGGCTGCTCCTGTCATGGCGTCAACATCAACATACCTCTTTTCCGGACGTCAGTGCTAGAAAATACCATGGGGTCACCAACAATCCACTCGATAAGCACAATCTTGCTCACCCCAGTCGTATATTATGGCAGTGGATGATGCAACTGCAAAATTGCCGTCAAAAATAAAGTGAGACTCATCCTCAACACCGTCCAGCGACTTGCTCTCTACGGACCTACAAAATAGCTGTAAAAGCGAAACGAATAGATTTGCGGCCACGAATTGGAATCACTTGAGACTGTGGTCATATTCAAGGAGTTGATACCAGTACTAGTACCAGTGAGTGGTGAATTTGGTGGATGTATAACGATGGCGCATTAGCATGATTCGAGCTACATATATCACGGTATTTTGCGTGAGGAGGCCGATTGGGCATGCTTGTATCAAAAAGATATTTTGGTCGTGGAGGTATATAAGTACTAGTACGTACGTCACGCGGTACCGTGTCGGATGCGCAGAAAGAATTCGAACACCGCGTTTCGAAACCCTGCAAGTTGCCACAAAAACTTTGCCCTGCACTTTGCAAGCTCGCCAGCGTGCGCAACGTGGCACGCCTCCGTAATCACCAGTACTCAGTACTCAGGCCTCATCCAAGGTCTTCTTGACGAACTCCAAGCAGCAGAAAAGTTAAAAATGAACATAGAAATCGCTAATTCCGCTAGCTTACCACAATAGCGTTTGGATTCTATGTTCAACTCGTGTCGCTAAATCCTTCAAAGCTTCATGCAGTTGATAGCTCATCGACGTTGCATCAATTTGTACAGCCAGGTGATTGGCACAATGTGATTCATGGTTGAAATGTTGATCAATGATCTATGATGTTACACAGCAACGCTCTGCGCTACCATGTGGTCACTGGGCGTGAATATTGTCGAATTTCACTGCTAACGAGACTGGATCATATGCAGGACTTTCATCCAGTTTTAGCTACAGTAGGCAGCTACGCACACACTCCATTCCGGGTCTCGCTGAAGATTCCGAGCCATTCCAAGGCAGGCTGTTCTTTTATGATTGACGTTAAGTCGGTTCTTCTAGAAAAGCTATGTATAGGTGTGTCTGATAAATGTTGACCGGCATGCTATGTCATTCGCAGGCTAGTAATTACAGATACGATCGTACCGGTTTCATATTAAATGGCCACACTGCTTTCGGGTTCCTCTTTGCACACCGTCGACTATAATACTTTCCCGTCTAATATATAGCGATGCAAACGCTATCTTCCACTACACATTTACGCGATCGACTCAAGGGGGCTGCTTCTTTCCGCAGCAAGCTTCGCAATGCCTCCAGTTCAGAACATCTCGGACTGGAACAGAATAAAGAGGATGTAGTTTGCCGACCCAATTCAATGTCAGTCACTAGTAGCTTTGAATATTATTTTCCTTCGAGAAGGATAAAGTCCAAGTTGACCTGCTTGTTGCTCGAACCCTGGATTGAACCAATCTCGGTATTATTCCCGCTAAATCGTAAATAGCCCGCTATGAGAGAATTTCAGACGTATATCTGCGGTCAAGGGCTAAAGGAACGTCTCTGAGGATGTTATATTTGCAGAGTGTGATAAACTTTGCCTTTGACAACATGGCTGACTTTCTGGTTTTTCCTGAGCAATCTGACTTCAAGTTCGCGCGGATATATATATGTACATATGTCAGATCAAGCTTAAGATTTGCAAGCATCGTGCTCAGCGGGGAATGGGAAATTTCCTCGATGAACGTTGCGATCAACTGAATCCACATATATAGGGGTTTTGCTTATGTAAGCGTCACGCAGAAGTTCAAGTTGAATTGGTATGATTGCCTTTTGATCCAAACGCGTCAACGCACAGGCCAGCTGCAGGTAAGGGCCACAATTTACCAGTGGTTGATGCACTATATAATCTATTTAGGCTAGCTGAGAGAACAACTGTCTCCTTCCCGTCTTCTTTTACCATATATACGATGGCTGAATCGTTACCTCCGGAACTATGGTCACACATCTTCGGTCTGGCCGCGGACGAGGATACAATTTTCTATCCTGGCCTTCCAACATCAATGACCCAGTCCTCTTGGGCAAGTTCTCTGGTTACAGATTGGCAGCTAAGGACGCCTCGTGACTCGATCAACATGGTCCAGCGCAGGAGCTATGCTACCAAGAAGGTGTGCCCCATTACAAAGATGTCACAGTCATTTCGCATCGTAACCCTCTCTTAGTCGATCATATCAACGTGCAAATCATGGCGTCGTCTCGGCATCGAATTCCTCGTCCGCTATCTGTTTTTCAATGACCCCTCGAAGCTCCGCTCTCTTACTTCCCTTCTCACTTCCAATCCTTCACTGGGGTGGTGGACGCGCCGTTTACATATAACTCACTTTCTCTACGAGCGTGGTCCCTCCCTCGACGATTTTGAAGCCGCCCTTACAACCGTACTTACCCAGACTCCCAACCTAGAGATCTTCATTGTCGACTGGCCGCTATCAAGGGCATTTGGACCCATCGCGGACACGCTGGGTACGCATTGCAAGAACTTACGCACTGCTCACTGGCACGTTCCCGCCGAACTCCTTCCCAAGGTCATATGGGCATTAGATGCCCTCCCGCTCCTAGTTTCCCTTGCCCTCGAATTCGATGCACCACTCAAGGATTCTGACACGCTCACCCTTGGAAGCGCACAAGATGTCAAGCTCCACCTCCCAAATCTTCAGCAGCTCATCCTGCGTGGGTACTCTGCCGAGTTCATCGAACAAGCCAACGGCTGGACCCTCCCCCTCCTACACAGCTTCTCCTTCGACTTTGGCAGCAAACTCGAAGACGTTCCCGATGTTCTGTCCTTCCTCAGCACCCACGGCACCAGTCTGCTCTTTCTCGACCTCTACTGTATCCCAGCACTCGATATCCGCACAGTACTAGACCTATGCCCCCTCCTAACCGCTTTCTCTTTCAACCTCGACTGGAAGATCACGCCCATCGACAACACGGCAGACGGACCCATCGTTCTCACTAATCGTCCACACGAACACATCGCGCACATCGGGCTTCATGGGTTGCTCTTTGCGTTCGGCGTGGGCCTCGCTAGCGCTTATGCCACCCCAGACCCTCTTCGATCTCTCCTAGTACAGCGTACGAATGACAGGAATTTCGCGGCGCTCACAAAAGCGAGTTTCCCCAAACTTGAGCGGGTGCGTGTGTTGAGCCCAACGGTGCTCACGGATCTCGACCGTGCAAATGGGCCGCAAGGGGGCGGGATGGAGCGCTGGGAGAGATGGGCGGGAATGTGCGAGGGCATGGGTATTCGTCTGGAGGACTGCACGGGCGCACTGTTGGGCACATTACCTCAAGAGTATGAAGAGGAAGATGAGGAAGACGAAGACGAACTTGTGGAAGACAACGAGTACTATCATACGGACGATGAGGAGCCGGCCAGACCAGGTGGAGTAGGTTTGTCAGAACTGAGGGCGCTGCTGGAAGAATGTAGAAAGATGAGCGAAGAGCGTGAGGACCCACCGTTTGGGTTGGCGTATTGATATCTCTGTCATCAGTGCTTTTTGCTTGCTTTGCTAACATGCTATTTATCATCACTGATCCTAGATCTCGTGTAGGCAAGATCGCTATCATGTAACTTATTCTAATGGTTCATTATTATCTTGGTTTTGAGAAAATGTCATCCAGAAGGGTGACTACTGTCACGACGTCCCGTCGTGTCCTTTCCCCTCTGGTGTCCGTGTCTTGAATGCCCCTCTACGGACAACGTCCTCCACAATCCTTCTCGCTCGATCTACAAAAATGCTTTGGTCTCCCGGAAGCCTTTCACGACCTACGCACCAAATACAAATCATGAGTCGTGCTACATTGGGGATTTGAGAAAATATAACACCCACCTACAATCGCCCAGTTCCGTGTACTAGGAATCCGAAGCGTGTCGCACTCAATCTTCCAGCCCAACCACCGGCTCAAACGCGCAAGCCATATGCGATAGGCTGAATATTGAGACTTATGTGTACCCTCTGCGCCCAGACCGAGGCTGGCAATGAAAATAGCTTCGTCCTCGGCTTCGGACGCCAGGGTGCCCACAGGAGTGGCAGCGTCAAGCAATTCATCCTCAGAGAAATCGAGCGCTGACGCCGCAGACGAGCGAGTAAACCTCTCATCGAACATCCATGCACAGCAGGGTATGGAGAGGTAACCACTCGCACCCGTGAGTGTCGCCAGTACAGGAAGCCATGGTGTCAGTTCGTCTGCGTGGTTCCCGATGAGGAATACTCCGGGCCCCCAAAAGGATTTCCCTTCATCGTTGCTGTTGCTGTTGCCTGGGGAAAGAAGTTGTGTGGGGTCAAGTGCGTGCACTTTTAAGGCTGCCTGTGACGAGTCGGGGTAATGTGCCCAGGAAGTCCGTGCGCGGAGATCGATACCGTATCCCGCATAACCCTCAGCCGAGAGAATATGTGTTAACAAGCCATTGCCACAGCTGCACGACGCATGATGAAACACGAAAAGATGGTTAATATTCAAGGCAAACTCACCCAAGGTCGAGGAAGCCAGATGGACGAGGCCAGGATTTCCATGGCGATTCATCCAGCTCCTTCACGGATGAAGTGGCGAACATGTCCTTCCAGAAAAGCATAAGATATGTCGCGATACCGATGTCCTGGGGCGAATTAGCTGATATCAATTGTATATCGAAGGGCATTCACACCTCGAACACATGTTTCAGAGGATCGGTGCTCTCCTTCCATGTATTGACTATCCCTTTATGACGCTCGCGCATTTTGAGATATACGTCTTGATATACTTCTCGGGGTATAAGGACGTCATGTTGTACGCGTTTCTGGTAATGGGTGAGTGTTCCCCATAAATAACGGTGGAGTGTGTCAAGGAGTGCAAGTGCCGTGCGGTAGAGACGACTGTTGAGGTCGGTAGGCGTGCCTGGGAGCGGAGTAACTTCAATGCGCAGTGCCGGTTGTGCAGAGGTTGAATCTGAGGTCGTGGTGATGTTGGAAGGGATGAATCGGAAAGCAAGATGTGACACCGTAGGATGGTAGTAGGGTAAGCTCTCTCCTTCGGGTACAAGTGGTGTAAGGACCAACATGGATGGAAGGCCTGCGAATTCACCAGTTTCCAAGGCGTAAAGCGTACAGTGTTGCTCTAGTCCCGAGTCTCGACCTGGCCTACGCGGTAGCAGCTTGCGATGGACATTGCGCACGGGGCAGTATCCTTCCAGACGTGGAGCAGCCGAAGGGATGGTGGTATCGGAGTCTGAGATGGTCTCTGAGCGCAAGATCAGTGTCGAGTTGTACTCCGGGTGATGAATCAATTGCGACACAGCTGTCTCGAACTGCCGGAGTAGATCATATCAACACAACAGCAAGCACATAAGGAGATTGTGCACGCACCAATTCAAGCGGGACATCTGCAGGACAGCTAACCAACGATTGGAATTTGAAGTGCAAAGGATTGGAATCATTGGAATCTGAATCGCGCAGTGGAGGTACATCATGATGCAGCGGGTGAACATCACATGGCGAAGGATTGAATCTCGGTCGTTGACCTGAGGGTGTTGTAGCCATGATAGCGCTACACAATGATTAGCCACCTGGTGCTCTGGCCAGGAAAACTTTATACCTTAATAGCGCAACTGAGGCCGCGACGGTAGAAGGTCGCGTCCTTGACGATTCGACAAAGATTGACCGTGATGGATTCGAAAGCCAACTTCTCTGTAATATATTGGATGTCCATGAGTCTGACCGTGGCTTTGTGTTTACAAAGTTACGCACAGACTCACGAAGTTCAGATACGAAGTCCATCCCCGCAACTCGGACGCGCCTTAAAAATACGTTTTTCATGTCATCTTCCCACGTTTCTGTGCTGGCGACCTTCCCAACAAACGCAGGTCCAGCAATCACAGCAGCCTTCAGCTGCACATCACGGCGGTTTGTGTAGCTGCATTAATATGCATCTTACACTAGTACTTGTTTGCCTTTGAATTATTCTGCAATATTGTCAAATACTCGCCAATGTCGCCGTGTTCCAAAGTTTCAAACAAGTCGAGCCGTTGTCAAACGGCTCGATTCCTCTAGATTCTATCAATACACAATCTACAAATTGACTGAAAATTCTCCGAGGATATTGTTAAATCTCGTCTTCACTATCTTCGTAGATTGTCCACTCGCGGTTTTTGACTGGGGGTGAAAACTAAAACATTACCAACCTGCGCAGTGACCAAAATGAATCCAAGATGCTCACTGCTTTAATGGAAGGAATAAGTGCAACATATTCCGCTCGCTGCTCATCTGTCATCCTAACGTCATAGCTCAAAATCATGGTCTCTAGAGGACAATTTGACCGTATCAAGAATGCCTTGAATTCCGCATGAGGCCACGGCCGATTGTAGACAGCTTCAAATGTGCGCAAATTTGGGAGTGAGAGAAAGTCAAACAGGGTATATAATCGGTTTTGGGGCGCAGAACCTCCGTAGATAGATAAGGTTTGAAGTCTGAAGTGTGTAAACGGCTCGAAATCCTGGGCGCTGAGGAGCGGGGTGCTAATCGATAACGAGACGAGATTGGGGGTTAGCTGGAGCAAGCGGAGAACTGAGTTTGGTTCATGTATGGTGATCGCGACATTTGTCAGGTGGGCCCATACGCGATTATACATAGACATGTGCCCGTGGTCGAACGAGGGCTTGTGTATCTTGAGACTCCGCAGAGTGATTGGAAGCCGAGAGATGCATTGTACAATAGCTGACCCATTTATTTTCGTTGCGCTAATGGTTAGCTCCTGAAGTGCTGGGATGCCTGTTAATAGAAGTTCCAGTTGTTTGGCGCCGAGGGAAAAATCGATAGAGAGAGACGAGATTTGATTGATGTAAGGCTGAAAAAAGCTTCGTAGCTCAGAAGAGTGCCAAATATAGCAGCAACTAAATGCTAACGAGACCGGACGTCCTCGTGACCGTTTGAACCATAAGTCATAGCGGAAGACTTGATTATTCCACTTGTGTCTGCGGTTCGGTGATATGCGCAGCCCACACCACAGACTGGGTGTGCCTACAGAAACCTCCCTCCATCGTTGACATACTCCAGTCAACGACATGGGAGCTTCTCGATCTGATAGCGGCCGAGAATGACCGAATTCTGGGAGACAGTAGTGGAAGATTTGGGACAGGACTTCAGTCGGCAAGCGCCAGAGAGCCGATCCAAGTCTCTTGTGCAAATTCAAGGACTGGGTGATCTGGCCCTCCTTTACAAAGAGTTGCTGGTGAAGATCTATGATACCGTCCATGACTGTCTCCAAGCCTGAGGACTCGAGCGAAACTGCATGGAGTTGGTGCTGGCGCTCAGTGATGATGGCTCCGACGGTCTGGTCGTTGAGCTCGATGGCAGAGCGATTCAAATTGAGGCAAGCTTGGGAGTATGCGGGGTCGAAGTCTGGCATCTATTAATAATCAATACAAAGCCATCCGATGTGTCGCAATGGACATACGGTGACTTGTGAACGTGCGAGCTGAAGCGAATGGACATTATTATATGCAGATACAAGCACCTATTAAACTGGGCAACTTACAATGTCTTTCAGCGCATCAATGACGCCCAATAATGAGGAGGAATTGGCTTTTGAGTCGGATGTCTGCATGTTGTGTGCGGGGCAGGTTGAAAGTTAAGAAAGAGACACGCTGAAGTAACGTGTCCGACTAGGAGACTAATGCGATCACGTGAGGGCGCTGCCATGAACGAAGTTCGGACTTTTGAAACTTCTATTTATCAGGGACTAATTCCATTATCCGCATTACATCTTCGGAAACATCAAGTGATAACGAACGCTTCTCGGAGTGGTTCGGGCGGTCCGCATTCTAAACCGTATTCGATGTCTGAAATTGCAAAATTGAACATGGCTACTAAGGTCCTATTAGACCCTGCCGACGTCGGGTACGGTCAGTCCTCCGACCACCAACGCACTAATCATCATTTCCTCCATGCCACAACTCAAGCGCACCGACTGCTCATGTGTGTCGGATCATGTATTAATATCATCGAGACAGCCTGCGCTCATCTATGTGTGCAGACCACATCATAAAGAGGGAGAAATCAGTGTTATGTTGGCTCATGCGCGTCGATGAATGATTGCTCACAATAACTACAATAGCCACCTTCGTAGACGAATCGAAGGACTAGTGCGATGCGGATCGACGACGAACGAGATAAAATCCACAGCATCCAATCAGATATGGTTCTGCTGATTCGGAAGCAGAACTTTGCTCCTGAGCAGTTCGTGGCGCAACTTGTCCTTGCTCCCTTGAGCTAGCGGCATTGTTGCTGCTCGTGCGTTGCATAGCTGCAGCGGCTTCTGCATCAGACTCAGGGACAATGCCATATCTCTGAAAATTTATTTGTATCACGGAGGGGAGATCACTGGTCACGACCAGGGGCTTACATCTTCATCACGGCAAGGAGCAACATCGACGGGACGCCTGGATATTCTCACAGGAAATGAGCTGAAATTCAATCGCCGGGGCTGAAGCTGATTTGACTGTTGTGGCGCATATGCAGGTCGAGTGCTGGAGCGCAGGAAGCCGAACAAATTGCGCAGACCAGGGGGAGATGATGATTCTGCTGAGCGACGAGACGTGCGGTTTGTGTCATCGCCGAAGAAGTCATTGCCCTGACAGGTATCAGGATAGCAAGAGCTCGGGAATGATCGCACTGGACTCACATATCTTGCCAAACCTCTATTGTTGCTTTGGTGTCTAGGCGCGAGAGAAATCTGATGAGACAAATGAGCGAATGATCAGGTTACCAACCATTAAGCAGCTCACGTCTCTAGGTCGAGCTGCGAGTCCCTGAGGATAAAGAAGTCAGATGAGGTATGAAAGAGAAGATGGATGACTTGCCTTGAGCTTCGTGTTGGGTTCTGCATTTCCCTGTGCGAGACACAAGACCACATAGAAAATTGAAAATAGCCTGAGGAAATAAATGGCCATACGTACGTCAACACCACGAGCACGCTTGAGTGCTGCTTCCAGACTCCACACATAGATTTTTCCATTCGGCCCCCTGATAGCACTGGCAAAGTATTGTCCATCAGAGGACATGGCAACAACTAAGAGTTGGTCGTCGTGCCAAAGTGGGTCTCCAAGTTGCTGATTCGTTTTGAGGTCCCAGATGCGAACTGAGTAGTCGTATGATGCGCTAACAAGATGGCATCTATCGGGAGAGAGACAAAGGGATGTGACGGGATTGGTATGACCCTGAAAAACGACGAGTTCTTCCCCGTCCATCGATTGCCATTTTCGAATGGTGCAATCATTTGAGGCAGAGAAGATGTATTCGCCATCCTTGGACCAACATAACGATGTCACCCCATTGTCATGTCCATTTATCTCGATAAGCAGCTTGCCGTCCTTTGACCACACCCGGATCATGTTGTCCTCACCGCCGCTCGCGAATTTGTCGCCTTGTGGAGAGTATTTGACTGTCCACACACTTTTATCACCAGTCGTTATCGGTGGTGCAATTTGTCTGCCAGTGGCCGGGTTCCATCGTCGTATAGTGCCGTCCGGAAATCCACCTGCTACCTCCACTCCATTCGGAGACCAATCGAGGCACCACACTCCAACATCATTCCCCTCCCACGGGTTACCTACCACGCTCCGTTCCTTTATATTCCACAGCCGTACTCTGCCATCTGAGCTTCCACATACGACCATTGTTTCATCCAACGGCATCGCCATTGAGTTTACTTGGTTTCCATCACCATCACAAGGCTTTCCTACTGGCTTTCCATCTCTTGTCCACTGGTGAATTGAACCATCGTCCGAGGTACTCATTATATTCCCACCGGTGCCCAACCAGGTAAGGGTGTTGTTGAACCAGTTGTCGCATTGGATGATACACTCTGGCATCAAACTCCCTGCAGTATGTTCTGGCGCTGGCTTCTTCCACGATGTGGTCCGAGTGTTGTGATTGACGAAGTAGGACCGACCGTGCGGTGTGATGTGCCATTCGCATCCACGAAGGACCTGCCCGAAGGAATCTGTGCTCGACCCTGAGTTCCTCGCTCTCGTCCCACTTTCGTTGCTCACCTAGTTGCACTCCAGGTAAAGGTCGCTGCATTGCATACATGTCGTATGTGTTGTTGTAATATAATGGATCAGGCCCATTCACCTTGCTTTCTGTCCACCCAGGAGGGAGCACATCATTCCCTCCTGCTTCATGTTGAGTCGGTCAATGGGTTTTGCAACGTGCTCGCCCACCTTCCCATAGTGCATCCTGGCGGTGCTGTGCACCATAAGCTGGCAGGTTCTCAGAGCGCTTCGGGGGAGAAACAGGTCCTGACGAGTTTGACAGCTTTCCTCGGTCTGCTTCTGTCCGTTTCGCTGGCATGCTTGATTTGGTCTCTTCGTACAGCACAACGGCAATCGGGGATGTTGGAAGTAACGAACAAACCTACTAGATATGCTGTTTCGCATGCTGTACTTGCAGGTGCCTTGCTTAGGTGATAACCTGTGCAGTGAGATATACAGGCGATGTCAATCCATTAATTATTGGTCGGAAAAGCTCAGCGCGTATTTGACTTACCTACACACTTACAACATCCCCATCCGCGTTCATAATTGTTTCTAAGCCTGCATTAAGTGTCTTATCGATGAGCTGACGAGGTACTTACTAAGTATATGTGGTGCCTGAGTTACATCAGTAGCGTACGTAGTCAGCCAATAAAAATCGTTTATCGTTTATACAGGATGCTAAACTGTGATCGCAGGCATCAGGTTTGAAATAGATCAATCGGACGCCCTCCACCGTCCCTTATGGATAAACTGCATGTTCTCAAGACGTTCAGAGACTTATATTGAAAGGTGCACAAAACAGTATACCATGTAATAGGCACTCGATATGATTGCGATTATATCTCTACACATCTCCAGAACATTATCAATGCAGCCCATCCACACCATCAGCCGCATCATCACTCACATCGGACGGCGTCACCAACCCACTTTCACACCCACTATCGTCATCCTCCAGCCCATCCAACGTACACCTCAAATCCTCCACCTCCTCAATCTCACAGCTCAAGCGCACTGAGCCCTCACGCTCCTCGACGGGATACTTGCATGCGACATCCGCGCAGGTAACTCCGCGAGACTTTTTGCACCACCCAGACTGACAGCGAGCATAAATAACTTCTTGCGCCACCACGTACGCGGAATGGGACCATCCAGCTGTAGAGTATACCGTGTGCGAGGCTTCACGGTAGGCACTGAGGGGGGCACGGGCTAGCGCGAGACGCAGGTGTGCTGCGCCTGCCCCCAGGGATACAAGTGTACGTTCGAACACGTCACAATGTGAATTGCCCGAATGCGAATATGTGGAGTCCTATTCATCCGAACAGAACATATATATGCTGTGATATGTGGGATAAAATTGACGTACTAACCTTGTGCACGGCTACTCCATCCTGTCCGTACGTCATGTTGAGGTATATGGGAGACAAGGCTGCGCCTGTTGCGTGGTCTGGTTCTGAACAGAACCTGTGGGTATGGCAGGCGTGGAGAAACCAATGTCGACTTCAGACGAGCACTTTAAGTGATGCCTTATCCCGCGCATCGCCGTTGATAAATAGGGAAGGCTGGTGTATCGACGACGTAGAGGCAATCTAATTCAGGAGACAAGAAGGGAGAGGCACAATGAGAGTAAGTAAAAACAATCAAGGTGGGGTGATATTATGCGCACATTTGCGAAGAGACGGTACCTATCATTTGACTGAAGTATTCCATGTGCAACTTGAAGATTTGGTTGGCTGGAAGTGAAGCGAGTCGCTGACGAATAAGCTGCAATCTCGTGGGTTTGTCTCATGTGTGGCATCTAGTAATCATCAATACGATGTCATCCGATACTTATATCGCGATGGACATACGAGCACTTCTGAACGTGCGAACTGAAGCGAATAAACATTATTACATGCAGATACAAGCGCCTATAAAATTGGATACTTACAATGTCTTGCAACGCATTACTGGCACCCGAGAACGAGGAGAAAATGACTTTTGAGTAGGATGTCTGGACTCTGCATGTTGCTTGTACATAGTAGTAGATGACGCGAGGCAGGTTGAAAGTTTCGAGCAAGAACACGCGATCACATGATCTCGAACTCGTTGATTCTAAATGTAGGGAGATTATGTACTTCCATTAACAACGTCGATCTTCGGAAAATTCAACTGATACTCAACGCTTCGAATTCCAGGAGTTAGTCTCACACTTGTTGAGCTCGGGCTTCCAGAACAGAGTCGTCCTCCCGACTTTCCTTCTACTAAAAATCCCCCCGGGGAATGCAACCGATATATCGACGGCCCCCTCAATGGTGACGGGTCGATCACATCTGACCGCGGAGTATAGACGGTCACTGAGATAGGACACGTGGTTAGAGCCCACAAATTACACATGAGACCAGAGAGACCCTCCGAGTCAGAGCAGAGGAAGACACGCTAGCTCCACCTGTCTCATGCTCAGCCTACTTTGATTCCTCATCAGCAGCTATAAGCGCACCTGAAACTCGATCCAACATTCCCCTTCGTCCCTCTCCTAGGCAGTCCCACATGGATAGTACTAGTCATGAGATAGAAAGAAGACCGGCGGCTGGGGTGTTACAGTCACCCGTGCGTACGCTCGCCGCCTTTGCCGCAGGACCCACATTTTACAGACTCCACATACACTGAAGCATTATAATAGGATGAGCTTCGCACTCCACCTCATTAATTCAGGGTTGTCCTTGGTGAGAAAATACACGTTTGATTTTGATGTACACGATCCACTCAACAGTGAGGCAGCGCTAGGACAAGCAACGTCCTGCAACGTCTGGTTCCCCAGTTTGAAGTGTGTGTATACCTATCGCGTGGTTCCTTCATCCTAAATACGAGTCTATCTAGTCCTTCTTCCACCTACAAGGCAAATGACTCCGGGTTGTACATATATACTACGTACGTCACTGGCTCCGCAGGGTGCTACGTCTTCCGCATTCTAATTGGTGGCCTCTCTACTGCGACCAGGACTTCGCAGGGCTATGAAAGAACCAGGTCTTGCCTTTATCCGCGGCAATGTTTATATTGCAGCCGTGATGAACACGTGCACTAACAACATCAACAGTATCCATAGGCCTTTGCGAACAGCACTATGCATCTCCGCCTCAGGATGTGTTTGATGTCCCTTTTTACATATTCTTGATTGTTTATCCATCGGCCGGGTCTGCCAGGTCATGCATAGACTCTCGTCATGATGCCATGGCATCTGCCAGGCGTAACCAATCTGCCAACCCGCTGGCAGAATTTCAAGGTGTGCACACTACTATGCTCAGGATCTAAAATCAAGCCGTCTTCTTGCTGTGCTCCCCCATACTCAGAGTTATTAATCGAGCTCAGATCCCATATTATTTCGCGCGGATAATGCGTTTCTCATTCCTCACCGTTATTGTTGCTTTGACAGCATCTATGTCCGTCAGTGCTTGCAGTGGCCCATTCGAGACTTGTGAGAACACCGTGGATTGCTGCCCTGACTCATATTGTAGTTCTGTGAGTATAGATTGTTAGCTTAATGCAACCCCATGACTCACCCGTTGCAATCCTCATAGAAATTCTGTGTATCTGGCTGAAGAATAGCTCTGGAAGTTGGAGTCACCGGGATGTAGGGACAGTGAGTAATATTACTGCTTTCTCAGTAATGCCGTAGTTGATGGGACAATACGTAGTTCGTCGCTGAATTGATCGATATGGTTTGTTCTGGGTGGTGGTTGAGCCACGCGGCACAAAGGAAGATATACATGATTTTGATAAGGAATGGCCTGCGGTAGGGATGTTTCAAGTGGAGTGACGGTGAAGAAAGTGAAAGCGTGGTAGCTAAGTCAACGTCGATCATCGAGGAAGCTATGTTATCTGATTCTGAATTCCTTGTGGCACCAACACTGAGGAAGCCCCACCCAAGTGCAGGCGTTAGTTCATCAACGTCTGGCGAGCAGGATGCGTGTAGCGACTACTGGTGTGTATAATTGACATACTTGGCGGACCTAAAAATTGCTGGAACATCCACAACGAGCACAATTGACGGGGAGAACGGAATCTGCTGACTTCGGTTCCAGGCTATGGTTCTACCTTGGGCGTTATCAATAATCCGTACACATCACGCCAGTTGCCGTTGATAGAGACAAGCGGTGTCTCACCCCCATGAACAGAATATAGCTGGCGCCTCGAGGTAGGAAATCCGAGAGCCACCTTTGAATGATACGCTCCTGGCAAAAAGAGAAACGCTCGCCGCATCTCTATAACATCTCTCAAAAATAGACCTAAATGCCCGTCACGATTATTGATATCCGCTACCCATACGGTAGTGGTAAGTGGAGAGCTGACAGGCTGAACGCAAAGACTTGTTGCGACTACTGGAGGAGATATCTACGGATGGTGCTGAATAATAATGTAACACCTTGAACTGCGAAGAGCCATCCGGTCAAAGTACGTGATCATGTCTAACTGAAGTGTCGAGACTCTTATCAGGGTCCCCAAATTGGAGCGAAGGAACAAGGGTAAGATATTCCGCTCGTTGCTCATCGATGTTACCGTCGCTCCACCGTCGACAGTCAAGCTCTCCAGCGGACGCCATGACCGTGCCAGGAATGTCCTGAGCAACTCATGAGGCCACTTTGGAACTTCACGAACCTAAAGTACGCGTAGAGTAGGGAGTGAGAGAGCATCGAGGCTGGATAATCTGGGCTCTGGCCGTGCAAATTCACAAGTTATATCTAAGTTCGGTATGAGTGGATGACTCTAGCGATCGGATGAAATGGAATAACATGCAAATGAGAAACGATTCGTTATACCTGGTACCCTCATCGGGTCCAGGAACTCTACAACCTTACAATGAGGAGAAAAACAATGCGTCTCAAGTGATATGCCATATGTTCAAATGTGTATTCAAATATTTGAGCTGTTCTTTTATTCCAAGGTCTTCATTGCTCGAGCAGCAGGGATTTTTTTTGCCCAAAAAGCGCTCTGCAACGAACATCAACCACAATGCACCAATGCGAAAGCAGAAACACGACTCACTGTAATCGACTAGGGTACACACAGCCACGCGGATGAACCCTACCATGCCGGTGAGACATGGAGTTATTCCTAGATGAAAACTACTTACAGAAAAGTCATCCGGGTTGGTGTGTACTAGCATGCATGTGAAGCCTGAGCAGCATTCTGCAGTGTCACAAAGGACGGGACAGTCACTGTCGGCCCTGAGGACCATAGATGCTGCCAAAGCAGCAAATTGAATGGCGAGAACGAAGGTGAGACGCATTATTTGTGAGATGCGATATAGGATCTCGAAAGAAAATCTGGATGAAAGCCACTTGCTTTTATGTCCTGAGTGGTGTTCTGTGCAGAACCTACCACCTTTAATACCCCTTCAAAAAAATGGTATTTGCAATGCCAGCAGATTGCCAACAGACCTCAAATTTGACTTGCGTTGTCTCCGATGCATCTATTGACGCTTGAAGAATTCAGTTCCATCTCGTTGGATACGGCCTACGTTAGGTGACACGTAATCTTCTGTGGTCAAACATGGCACGAGAATCCTGGGCCCGCGCCTACGCACCATCATAGTCCCTCAGTAGGTATCCCTGAGCGCCTGGATATTGGACTTTTACGCGCATGGCACATCCAGAGTAGTGCTTAATGAACGTTAGCGGCGTTTGGGCGCCATGTCAATTTGTCATTGATTGCACCCACTCTTTTATTTAGAGGTGACCAGCAGCCTGGGAGCCTCTTCTGTTACATTAGCTCATAAAAGTTTGAACAACGAAGCATCACCTCTGATCCAGATCTCATCATACAGGGCCTCCAAGAACTGGACCTTTCAACCGAGGCCCTCGCACATCCCACCAGTACCGTCAGGGAAGATGCGTAGGTGGAAGCTATTATCTTGGCTGGGTTGAGTGAGAGAAGTTGCAACGTACGAGACCAGCCCTTATTAACAATGAAATAGCTTCCCGTAGGCAAGGTGTCATGGACTTACGACGATGATCCTTGATTGTAGCACATGCCCATTCGCATTTGCATAGTTTCGGATCGTTCAATAAAGACATCTTGTCAACCATCAGACGGTGATATTCCAAGATGTAAAGGAGCTGTATCACAAAACATTGCACCATTGATCGAGCGAGTCGCGTATCCAAAATGAAGCAGATTAATTGTACTCTGACACAGCATCTGCTACTCACGTTGAGCGGGGCTCGATTCGATTCGACTCGACTCAGGGCCAATGATATGTCCCAGTGTATGCCGCAGAGTGTGCGGAATAGGACTGAGCGAGGACATGGCAGGTTTGATGGGGGGGAGACCTCTCGACCCCATGCTGTACCGAGGACCTCCCACTGGCCTGGCGTCCACGCACGAGCTGAGATGGGTCGAGAATGAAACTGCCAGCTGGCCAAGAGTTGCAGGTTCCGAGAGATTCGCCATGATAGAATTATTCAACACCAGTGCGATAAGATGAGAAAAAGTTAATTAGTTGAAGATTATTATCGTGGCGATGCAACCGAAAACAGCCCTATAGTAGATCGTTACATCCATCGAGCATTATGCCATCAAGGTTATAAAGCTGAGCTAGTAGTAGCGTTTTGAGCAAGGGTCTCGAGTCTTGACTTCCTCAAAACTGGTCGTGACTCGAATTGACAACTCGAGACTCACGGTTCAAATAAGTACTATATAGCAATATCCAATAAGTCAGTTAATATCCACAGCATGTAAGAACACTTACTTATACTAGCCTCCGAGTCCTCGTAAGTGTTGCGCGTGCTATCATCTCATTCTGATCAAAAGATGCCAGTACTGCCGCATGGTTATATCGCGATTGATGCCGTCTCTGTGAAGATCTTAGTGAGTCATTGAGTCAGTGACAGCCTGTCCATATCCCACTGCTGATAGTACGAGTCCTCGAATCCAGTTGGATGTTGACCAGATTTCACGGGTATTACTAGCTATATGGCTTATAAGGAAAACTATGTACCATGCACTAATGTGAGGCCCCAAGTCCAGTGAAAAATCAAAGGCGGAGGTTGATGGGAGTGCAGCCAACATTGACAAGGCCGTTCTGAAATTGCCCTGTGAGATACAGTTGGAACATATAATACCACTCGTGACTCACCATTTTGTTGTTGCTGCAACACATAGGTTGCTGGTCGCATTCGGCGCCACTACCAGTGCCAATGGCAGAAATAGAACTGCAGCTAAGGCCAACGGAGCCAGCAACACCAGCAGCTACTTGCATAAGGCCAAGAAGTTGTGCAGCCTTGTTGTAGTCCGAAGTCTACACCGATCATCGGAATCAGCGAACACAAATAGGAACCCATTACTCACGCTGGCAGAGTTCTGACAGCACTGGATATTACCAGTATTGCACTGGCCATCGCGGAGAGCGAGGGGTGTGGCGACAGCGAGAGCTACAAGGGAAGCAACAGCGAAGAAACGAGCGAGCATTGTATTGACTGGAATGTTTAAGAAACTTTGTTGAAAGAGTGTGAGGAAGCTTGAAGCTTGAGCTTGAGAGCTGGATAAGAGGAGATGGATTCTGAAGAATCAGATGCATTGCGGTCCACCTTTTATACGATGGACGCACGCGGCGACCCGGCTGTTGTGGCTTTTTTTTCAGAGTCTGGAGTTCATGTAGCCTTAATATAGAAGTATTTATTACGTGGATCTTGGGACGCGTTTCGACCACGTGATCTGATGATCAACATCCTCATACTTATTACTTAAGCTTGCAATTGGAAGTCGGGAGAATACCAGAGGCAAACGACGTTGCTCGAATCTAGCCCGGACACTGTGATATGGCATTCGACGTGGATTTGGCTGACGCTTAGAAGCATGTTTGTCTATGAACGTAGGTTTTAGGCTTACATGTCGATGTTTTTTTCTGATTGTCGTGTTTGAAAAATTACAGTCACCGCCGCTGTACTGGAGTCTGGCACACGGTGCAGCCTGGAATTGGGGTAGTATTGTAGGCTCACGGAAAGTCTTACTATGCGCTTGGTATGATAAGTTCAGGAAGAGTGCTGCGAGTCTGACAGAGCTCTGACAGACTTGGAAGCCGCCTCGATTTTGAATTTCTCTATGTAAGTGCTCAGCCTGCTCAGGTCGAGAGTCTTCTAACAAGTAAGGATCCAGATATGAATATATGAATTCTGAGCAGTTCGAATGGGTAGTCGGGATTTGAAATTTTTGTCGTTTTCTGTTTTTCTTTTGGAGCAAATACCCCTAATCTTGTAGCTCCTCTTACTTCGAACATGACTTCTACCCCCCCAAGCACAAATGAGCCTGCAGCCCCCGTTGCTCCCTACGGGTTTATAGTTCCTCCCGCTCTAGACAGAAATACTGGCCCCCCAAGCGCAAATGATCCCGCAGCTTCCGTTGCTCCCTACGGGTTTATAAAGCCTACCAAATCAAACACGGTTACTAGTCCCCCAAGTACAAATGAGCACGCACCCCCCGCGGACATGGTTACTAGCCCCCCAAGCACATATCAGCCTGCAGCCCCCGGTGCTCCCCACGGGTTTCCTACTCCTACTTCGAACATGATTCCTAGCCCCCCAAGCACAAACAAACCTGCAGCCCCCGGTGCTCCCCACGGGTTTCCTCCTTTTACTTCGAACATGATTCCTAGTCCCCCAAGCACAAACAAACCTGCAGCCCCCGGTGCTCCCCACGGGTTTCCTCCTACTACTTCGAACATGATTCCTAGCCCCCCAAGCACAAACAAACCTGCAGCCCCCGGTGCTCCCCACGGGTTTCCTCCTACTACTTCGAACATGATTCCTAGTCCCCCAGGCACAAATCAACCTGTAGCTCACGTTTCCCCTCATGGTCTTGTCTCGCAAAGTTCAGCCGGACCGAAGGTGAATTGTATCGTAATAGTGAACGAGCTCTTCTGACAGTCTTGGCTCTCCAGCCAGAGCAATTCGCTCCTAATGAACCGCACATTCAGACCCAACCACGCCAGGAGCAGATGCAGCCCACAGGACGAATGAACGCTTCCGAGACGCCACAGAAGGAAGGGAAACCGGTGGACCAGTACCCTGACCAGGACAAAAAGACAGAGGAGCATCCGCAGGGCTCTGGCTTAGGCCAACAAGGTCGACCCCGCAACTATTGGCACTATGGGCTGTTGAGTTGCTGGGAAGATATTGGGACTTGTAAGTGACATATAATTACCACAATGCGAATTAACCCCAAACCGCGTTCATAGATTGCATGTCGTGTTGGTGTCCTTGCATGATATACGGGAAAAATAAGCAGCGGCTTGATCATTTGCAAGACCACAACACAGCGGATCCGGAACATGGCGGTTCGGGCTGTGATTCTGATTGTTGCATGCATCTAGCGCTAAATGTGTTAGGCGGTTTTGGTTGGGTACTGCAGGTGGGCACAGATTTTGTCGTTCTTCGCAGGTCATGTTAAGAAAAGTTGCTAGTTTGGGCAAAGGGGCGCGTTGAGAGAACGCTACCACATTGATGGAAACCCCGTCAACGATTGCCTAACTGCATTCTTTTGCACTCCATGTGAACTCACTCAAGAGAGTCAAGAATTGGCAGAGGAAGAAAGGGGTGCTTCCAGCACCGAGAGGCAGACTCATAACACGTAGTAATACGAACTCTCATTTCCGTGCAGCCCAATCAGGTTACTTACCATGGTTTATCTTGCTGGGCGAGTGAAAGCACACAAGTTGCTTTCTCCCCCTCTTTACTTCCCATTCACCAAAAGCACACAAGTTGCTTTCTCCCCCTCTTTACTTCCCATTCACCAAAATGTAGGCACTTCTGTATTCAGAATTCTATTGTGTAGTTCCATTCGTTCTCCCTCCGAGCCCCGGATGCGCCCCCATGCTAAGATCCTCCGGTTGCGTTTGCACATGGTTAACGTCATCGAAGCGCAACAGTTATAACCAAGCCATTAGATTACTATGCGTCAGTCGTATCGCGTCCGTTTTGTCCTTCACGCGGCTTGTTATCAGCAATGCAACAGTTTGGGGATCCGGGACTCGTGACTTCACCGGGTCAGCCCGTTCAATATCGGATCGAAGCAAACTTCACTACGAAAATATTCCATCCATGACAATACTGTCTCGGTACACTTCTTAGATCGCACAAGTCACGACCGAAGGCGCCTACTGTTCAAAATGATGTGTGTTGCCATAAGTTGCATGAGTAAACCTTGAATCAAAGTTATGAAGTTGATTTTGAAGTTTGCATTGTTTGTTTGGCAAAAGCCTTCGATCCAAACAACCTTCTTGTAAAAATCGCCATCGCCATGTCTGGTTTACCAGAATGTCTGTCGGGTTTCACCGTCATTCCAGTTGCATATCAAAATTCATCCCATTTCATCTATGCGCGAGCTCATGCCACATCTAAATCCAAACCGCCAAAACCCAGCAATGTTTTACCTGCAGAGCGGACGCTTTTCCTAGTGAACGTCCCACCAGATGCGACAGAGCATGAGCTCGCACTACTGTTCAAACATTGCGGGGCAGTAGAGCGTGTCCAATTTGACTTTAACTCTGCCGACGCTCTTGCTGAGCACGCAGCCGATTCTGATGAGGAGATGGCCGAGGATGCTGAAATCCCCGATACCGAGGCCCGACCTCGAAAGAAAAGGAAGCTCCAAACTTCCGAGCCAACGCCTCCTGAAGTGATACCCCTCCCCTCCCCGTCCCTTCGCACACTGCACAAAACTGGGTCTTGTGCCCATCTCATATTTCGCGATTCTTCGTCCATTGCAAAAGCGATTTCGGCCCCTACGTCATCCACGCGATGGCCATCTTCGGACGAGCCCCGTGGTCTATCACACTATATGGCAAAATACGATGCTGAGCGACCTCCGCTGGAGACTGTCAAAGCTCATGCAGATAGTTTTATGGAACGCTTCGAATTTGACCTTTTGAAGAATAAACAAGATAGCAAGTACCGGAAAGGAGAAGCAGTCGTGGATGAGGACGGGTTCACACTCGTCATTAGAGGGGGTGCTTATGGACAAACGCTTGGTGGAGGTGTGAGCGTTGCGAGCAAGAAGTTCATGCTCACTGGGCAGACTGGAGGTAGAAGAAAGAAGGAGAAAAAGGAGAAGGAGGCATTTTATTCCTTCCAGAAGGCTGAAAAACAACGGAAAGGTGAGTGTAAAGTTGTTTGTAACGAGGATATCGGTTCATGTGCATGTAGCTATGCTCGACCTGAAGAAGAACTTCGAGGCGGACAAGGAACGCGTAGAAAAACTGAAGGAATCACGGCGGTTCAAGCCTTATTGATATCCCACTGTCTTTGCCATACATTTAGGGAGGTGGATCTAGTATATCGCGAATGTAATATAATGTAAGGCCCCCGAGTTTCTCGTCCTAACGGGCGAGTTGTCACTTCGTTCAGCGGGTGTGCTCCGTCAGAGGGTGTACACTCAGCGATTTCCCTCACTTGTGATACTGAGAACGATGTTTTGAAGAGTCTTTCTTGACAGGCTACCGACCTTATGATAGGTGTCGCCGGTAAACGGCAATGGAACAGCGTTGGAATTAGCGAAGAGAGGATCACCGTTGCTCCGTCCGACATCAGTACTCGTTATCGTTCACTAGAAGAATACGCACATTGGCAAAACCTGTGAGGGTGCGTTACTCTACCCGTCCATTTTTCTGGCCCTGAGCAGACCAGACCTCGCGTATTGCAGCCCGACGCACATAAGAATGCTCAGCGCCTACGTCAGAAGTCATCTTTATAATGCTCTGCGAGCGAATAATCTAGTTATCAGTGGAAACGAAATCGGGACAGTCCGCTGAGCTGGAAAATGACGAAAGAGCAGTCGGTCATAGCAGCACAGGTCGAGTTTGGACCATTCTGCCCTCAGATTACATTGTTTCCCGTATCTGTTACATTCATCAAGGAGGATCACATCTCGGCTAATCACAACATTGCCTTTGCTTGCCCTCCCGTCAAGCGCCTCGACCGCTGCTACAACACCGTCGTTCCTGTGCGTAGATATTCTCGATCTTTGTGGTGTACTGATTTCTCACAAGGTGGTGAGTAGATAGATACGCTGTAACAAACTCAGTAGAGACATAGTTTATTTGCCTGGTTTTCACGGGAACCGACCTGCCGTACCATCAATGTTAACGTCGGTGTCATCCTCAGCGTGGCGTTCTTGCAGAGTATGCAGTACACGGCTGGTAAGTCCCACTTCCCTTTCCAGTCAGTGGCAAGCTTGAGTGTCGTTCTGATGTGCCGTCGTTGCAGTCGCTACCGCTATTATCTACGACGACGGTAAGGCCACCAGTGCTCAAAATTGTTATCGGTCACCCTCAGTTGATCATTAGCGTCAATGTTTGCTCGTAAGATAGGTCGTTAATGTTCATTCTTTGTGATTCTAAACATCCGAGATTACATACCTACAGACCGAGCATGGACAAGTAAGAAGTCGCTATCCTCACAGGTAGATTCGTCGTTCTTTCTCGAAGATGCACCCAGGTCGATGGGTGTTCTCTGTACACCTTTAAGCTTAAATGCGGTCTAGGGCCAGCCGAAGCTATTGTAATGTGGAAGGTACAATATCTCAGAGTGATCATTGTAATGTGAGACCTGTCACGGGTTGATACGTTGACAGAAGTCACGTGATTTCAGCAATGATATCCTTTGTAAGGTGTATCCAGTTCGTGCAGCATCATGGATATTACCGAGAAACATATTCATTTCTACTTCCCCGTACATCTGCTAATGGCAGTTTTGTAGGCATGATTATCTCCGAATGTCAGTTCATCAGTCGTATGCACTACGGTCGACGTCGGATGCCGCGGTATGTTTCAATGACAACTTCCTCGCTGGCGCCCATCCCATCCCATCGCTTATCACGCCAAAAACCAAACCAGGCCTTCTGCTCAAACGCTTTCACGCAATACACAGCAGATCTAAGTGTCCGTGTTCCTCAATCACACAGATTCGGCGGTCGATCGCTTGTGCTTTGTGAACCTTTTGGATGGTTGCGGACAGCATGGTACTGTGTGTGGGCAACGATCGTTTAAACTTTTACGCATCGATGGCCGTATGCGTATTAGCAACCTGCAACACAGGGTACGTAAAGGCTCAGTCAGTCGCTTGTGTGTGCGTGGAATTGCTCATTGTTGTAGATCCCCTATTTGGTATTGCGGCCTGCGCCTATTCCCCTCGTCTTGACACCGCTTGTCAATGTTTATCAGTTTCGAAGAACGTGATTGTAAGAGCCTTTGTGGGGATCGTTGACACACTGCCGTGATTACTGGTGACATTTTGGTGTTGCAGCGTTCCACGGCCGCTTTGAAGGTTGTCATACTGATTGCCCCCAGTGCGTATGTCAGTTGGATGGCATATGATTTACCCGAACAATTCTCCGGAGATCTCCTCGGACAGCACAGCGCGTGCACAACATTGAGTTTGTTGAGCCAATAAAAGATCTTTTACACATCAAATATGATTTTTCTTCCACGTGCATATGTAGCTATTATGAAGTCTGCAAAGTACCGTACATATGTGTTTATGGAGTTGCTCTAGAACTTGTACTTGGAGACAATTTCCCAGAAGCCCTTGCCTTGGAGGGTAGCGACTTCGAGCTCAAGGGCTGTAGGCTGGCGTGCGCCGTCAGGCCCAGCGAAGGTACCAGCACCCCAAGGCGAACCTGAGTAGAAGTACAAATAAGCAACCTTAAGTCATGGATAAAGAGAGCAGACATACCACCGCGAACTTCAGTTATGTTAGCGAGTTGTGCGAATGTGTGTTTGTAACCCAAGGGGACGTAGATGATGCCGTGGTGGGTGAGAGTGGAGAGGGAGTTGATGATGGTAGCTTCCTGTCCTCCACCTGGGGTGCCTGTAGAGACGAAGACACCCGCGAATTTTCCGGCCAAAGAACCGTTGACCCACAGACTACCAGTTCCGTCCCAGAAAGCCTGTAAGAATGAGTGATATAATTAGAATTTTTCTTGGAGAGAGGAACTCGACGGATCAGACATACTTTCCACTGGGCAGGGAAATTGCCATAACGAGTAGGGACACCAAAGATAAAGGCGTCGAAGTTGGCAAGTTCGGTCGGGGTGATGAGAGGATAGTCTGGCTTCGCAGGAGCGTACATCTTTGCGAGGACTTCCTCCGGCAGTGTTTCGGCAATCCTGATTGATGATCGAGTAAGTAAGGCGATCAGGCAGATGGGCCTATGATTGAATACATACTGGTAAATGGTAGCAGAACCTCCAGCGGATTCGATACCACCCTTGACGGACTCGGCCACTGATTAAGGCGATGATTAGGAGGACGGGGTTCTGGATGATCAGTACTCACTCTTAGCGATATGGCCGTACATGGTGTAAATGATGATTGCGATTTTAGGAGACGACATGTTGAAAGATCTAGCTGAAGTTGATGAGGATGAGGAGGAAAGGATGATATCTGATGATGATAATCGATGAGGGGTTCAGAGCTGGTATTTGTATTGAAATCTTTATGCTTGCTTAATCATGACATCTGTAACTGAGCACTACGTCAGTGACTCAGCGCGATAACTTCTTATTGCATAAAGCACTAATGTGGTATGTTTCAACACACACTAACATCCAAAGGTGGATGATCGGACTCACGTCGTCCCATGCTACGCCAACCCGTAATTGCCTCTGTAATCGCTCATTTGAAACCATGCAGCAGCTGAGCAATGCGACCCTAGCTAGGCGACTCTGCGATCACCCAAACGACGAGAACGTTTGTCCCAGTGTGCCTGTCTTTCAAGAATTTCTGTCTCTATTTGGAACCATGATTATTAACCATCTTTCTCAAATCGGATGCTAAACTGTCCTCATATCTTGTCAGCGCGCGTCTACTTTGTCACACACCTATCTAGCTACCAAGACGGGGCCGAGTGCAGGCACCTACAAGTACTGCAGGATCATTGCACCCCCCACACACAAACCTCCACCCTAGAAAATTATGGAAAGGTTCGGGTCGGAAGGTCCGTTTGAAGAACTCAACCCGGCTCGAGTCAGGAGGTTGAAATCTGTAGCTTGTAGTACAAGTTGTACAAATGCAACCAAATACTTATCATAGCGTGCTCGAGTCTCAATTCAAATATCAACAAACACAACATCGACCGTATCGACGACCAGACACCACGCACAGACTCTCAGTGAGAAGCAACCAAGCCTAAGATGGCATCAGATGGTTTTGGTATGCAGCTTGCCATATCCAGGGTAACATCACCCTGATATAGCAACAGGCTTGGACACGCATGTTGAAGCAGTACTGGACTCGGCCTTTGAAGCAGTACTGTTGTTCTCGAGGCGAGGCATGTTGATCCGACCAGGATACGACCCCCAAAGTACGTCATCAAATTGATATATACGGCCTCCATACCAAGCGGGTCACCTACAAGTGCAACCCATCTATTGATGAGTTCTTAATCATGTGGTAGCACAGATAAACCTTGTCCAGTTCCCCCATCTCACGCTACACCCACATCATTTTAAAGCTTTGTCTCAAAATCCAGCTATATCATCCGCAACTGAGAAGCCTGTGCCTTTTCTGCTATTACCTCGGAATGTGTTTCCCTGGAAAGCGACAAAAAAACAACTTCGCTGAGCCAAAACCCACACCCCTTGATACAAAAGCTCAACCAATTCCACAAGAACAACCAGTTTCTCCCCCCGCTCCTCTTCCACTTGCATCTTCTTCTCAGATCGACATGCCTGCACCTAGGGTCGCTATCGTCATCTACTCCCTTTACGGGCACATTACAAAGAGTCCGTCTTCTCCCCATTACATTCACCCCCTTGCTAAATACATCCTTCACAGTGGCTGAGGCCGTCAAGGGTGGTATCAGCGGTGCTGGTGGTAATGCCTCCATCTACCAGTCCGTTCATATCCACCTGCCAGCTATGACCGTCCATTGACTTGACTTCAGGATCCAGGAAACCCTCTCAGACGATATATTGAAGCTCGTCAAGGCCCCCCCTAGACCCGACTACCCCGTTCTCCTCCCTGACGACCTCGTCAACTTTGACGCGTTCATCTTCGGTATTCCCACCCGTTACGGTAACTTCCCCGTTCAGTGGAAGGTACGTTGCTTTCCGTCTACCATATTAAATCAATCCATTGACACATTCATACAGGCATTCTGGGATGCCACTGGCCCTCTTTGGAGCAAGGGCGCTCTTCAGGGAAAGATGTGCGGTGTCTTTGTCTCCACTGGCACCCAGGGTGGTGGACAGGAGATTACTATCGCCAACACGCTGTCCACTTTCGTGCATCATGGTCTCATCTACGTTCCCCTCGGATACAAGCATTCTTTCCCTCAGTTGTCTAACCTGACTGAGATCCACGGCGGTAAGCATAAAATCAGTGGCTACGGAGGGTTTTAATTTAACATTGTTCTATTTCCGAACAGGTTCTTCGTGGGGCGCGGGAACCTTTGCAGGCACGGACGGCTCCCGTCAGCCTTCACCCCTCGAAATCGAGATTGCTGCTATCCAAGGCAAGACTTTCTGGGACACCGTTGCCCAGTACACCGGCCACACCAAATCTTCGTAAATCTAAATACCAGATACGTAGGGTTTCAGCTTGGGATTGTATATAGATTGCAACACGCATAATTCAAACGCTCGTGTTTTATCTTTTATCGTCGCCTCGTGCATTACATACGAGGGATTAAATGCCGGCCTTTCTGATCAAGCGTGTTCTATCAGTGCTGTCAACTCATCCATCCTAGTGAGTCTCAGTCTGTGACTTTGTTCCCATGGGTCTGGGGCGCGGGCCCCTGATGGGCCCGATTAGCACCACCAAAACTGCGCCCGCAAACAACGGCGGCCTAAATTACCCAAGTCAAATCAAAGCACTTCAGTACTTCCAGCACTTAGATACCACGCCCGGTATCAACGCACACAGCGTGAGCGAAGAAGTCGCATTGATATCATTGTGCGAAACCTCGGCCAGCTGTCACGACTTGCCTGTACTGTACATGCTTTCACAGGGAAGCGGGCGCTCTTCTTCGATGGGTCTCATGCGGCCCCCCAGGACGCTGGCGATTATGCTACCTGAAGGTGCCACAACAGGCAGCCTTATCCCATGGAAATAGACGCCACGCCGCACGGCTGCCGATGCCAGGAAGCTCCCGGAGACGAGACTGCAGGTACAATCACCCCTCACACGGCCTCCGTGTCCCAAAATGCGTTAGCAGGGGATAACACTGACATTTGATCTATTTCTGTAGACTCATGTCACGGGCGCTGGTTACGGAGAAAAGGAGGATGAAACAATGATTGATGGCCAATCGTACGGAATTATGATGACGGGCAGATGTCACTGATCACGGCGCAAAACGATCTACTCCTTTTTTATATCGGGTCTTTGGATCAAGCGAAGCTCATATCTTCAGCCCAGTTTCCTGATGTACGGTCTCCAAATGCACCATCTTCATCCATCGTTTGTCCCCAAGCCGCGTCATCCTTGCTCTTGACGGCCTAGAATATCTATATATCAGCATCGCTTCACCAGCCAATTCTTCCCGAAAAAGTTAAAGCAACGTGGTTGACGTGGAACGAACAGAAAATAGCGTCGGTGCCGACAAGCGTTCGCACAGCGAGGACATACCTTTGTCAAATATTCTCTGTTCCTTTCCATCTCTTTCTCAAGCCTCACAAGCAAGGCGTCCTGCTGTTGCGCCTGTGCCAGCACCCGATCGACATCCGCCTTCTCAAATTTCACCGGTGGGTCCGAGAATGACACAGTCCCATCTGCAGACAGCTCAGCAGATATCTCCGAGCACTCAATCTACCAGAAAGGGCATCAGTAATCCGTACAACCCGCCAAGGGAAAACAAGTTTCACCATGCTCAAAATTAGGGATTTCACTTCATTCTCGTCCGAAATTCCCACTTCTCGTCCGATATCGGATAAATGTAATGTCAGATACGTGGTTGTGAGTTTCTTGATGGCCCAACGGGGGGCGCGGTCGAGTGCCTGGGTGATGAGACCAAGCGTTCTTTCCTATACGGGTGGTTAGTGATACACGGATTTATGTGTTTTCGATGTCGTACATTGGCGAATAGTTGATGCTCGTTTTCAACTATCGTGCGAAGGTAGTCGCGTTGCAGAGGATACGCATTCATGAAACTTGAGTAAGGCGTTGCTTTGAAAAGTCGCATAAGAATCGGGTGCATGTACTTGGATGGAGGTGATGTCTGACCGATAGTGAGTGAATCGTTCACCCATGAAGGATACTCGTACCTTTCCGCGGTATATCAACTGTACGAGGGCCAACTTCTTCAGGGCTTCCATTTGGATAGCGGACGCTGCTGAGCCTGGACATGATACGCAGATCTCGAAGAGTTCTTCAGCAGCTGGCCAGTTCTTTAGCGCAGCAAATGCGATGCCGCCGGCGTAGTGGTATATTAGATTGTCGTGGTAGGTCAAGTCAGAAAGTGAGAGATCAATTGTAGTGATTGAATGACTCAGGACGGGGATTGCGGCTGTGAAATGGCGAGTGGCGACGCAAGTCTTTGGCAAATCAGAAAGGTGGAAAGGTATCACGATTGAGAACCTCACCGTTAGGAAGATAGGGTGGATGGTGGTGAGGTGTGAAAGGGTCGGAGGATATTTTGCAAGCAAATCGGATAATGGCGCGATAGCAAGTTTGAGCTAAGAAATTTGAGATCGTGTGGAGACATGGTTCGAGAATATATCTTACATTTCCTTCAATTTCAGCAAATTGTCGTATTCCGGTTGCAAGAAGTGTCACTGGACGTATGTGACCCCATTGCACCAATGTGACACAAGCAAGATGTGCTAACCTCGATCCGGAGCAAAGCGTGCATGTTCAGGGACAAAATCGCGGCAAAAACCCTCGATATGGTGCCACAGAGGCTTATCAGACGAGACGGTATGCAGTCGTGCCGACCTTCAGAAGATCGGTGTGTGTAATGGAAATGTCCAATAAGACTCGACTCACAGAATGTAAAGCATGCCAATTGTGTGATCTCGCGCGTTTAACAGAGTCAAAGGATCTTGGCTACCTGGCAAAATACTGGACAACAGGACTTCTCTGACATCTTTGGATGCGCAACTCCTCAGATATTGGTTTAAGTGGGAAGGACTTGATGTCGAAGTTATGGTTGTGACAATGGAGCCTAACGAGACATCACTGGCAGATTGACCAGGCGCGTTCGATGATGACTGTGCAGGGTTTGTGCTTGACGTGGCGGATGTAGGTGGTGGAGTAGGAAGACCTGATTGATTCATGGCACAAAACTTCGACACCAACTGCATTATTAGTTAACGAAGTAACTATTGTCAAAAGGTTAGTTACCGAAGATTATCTTGATTTCCTTGGTGCGAGACAAACCGGTATGTACGGTTCTCAAGACTTGGATGGCAGGCCTTTGGTTGAAGAATGATACCACTCCTGTGCACTATGAAAGACAATTGCAAGTTGAGCTCCTGATCGTCCCCAATGATTGAATGATTACCTAATCGACAGAACGTTTTCAACATCACGCTGCCCGGCAAAATCCATTTTCAGACTTTTCTTCTTCCTGGACCTTACAGCAATGCTCTCGCCTCGATTTCTGGGAGGACGAGAGCACCGCTATTCGCCATCATCCATGAATTAACTACCGTCGTTCCCATTGCGGGTATTTTTTACACGGCACGCACCTTAGGCGCAAGCGAACGCGTCGTCCATGCTGTTGCTCTCAACCGAGATGGTCCTGCCGATGGATCAGTCTTCGGTGAACACTTAGCTGAGATCTTGGGTCAATGAAGGATGAAGGCGAGCAGTGGGCTGGCCGTATTGGACGCAGACATGGCATCTAAGGTTGGCTTTCAGAAAGGGCTAGCTTGTCGAGCAGATTCGAGCGAGCCAGTCAGGTAGGAAGCTTGTATTCTGTCGGACTGTCGTAGAGCCGATTCGGTTAAGTGGCTTTCGTCGGTCGTCCAAGTAATGGTGGGTGAAATTTTCAGGCTTTTTTTCATGATGATTTCGCTTGCCGCCCCAGTCGTAGCTTTAAGCATTGACGAATGGTAGAGCATACAGCCAAATATTTGCACCACTGATTCTCTCGTTACCTCTTTCTTTTTATGAACTCGTGCTTATCGTCTATCCCGCAGGTTATCTTTGTTGCTGACACTTGGGTCGCATATTCTGGCTAGTAATCAGTACATCTTTCGATTACTTGTAAAAGTCGTCGTCTTGTAACACGCATTACCCTCGGATTTGTTCGAACCAGGTTTTCATTCACCCCAGTCAAATTGGCTCTTCAAAGACTTCCTCCACCTCTGGCGAAGCCTCGTCCCCCCGGGAGAGCATTTCTCTCTCGTCCTCGTTTCGTGCTACATGCTACTTCAGTGGAGCACATCTGGACGATTCAGGCACACGACCTATTAGTTAAAGCCTGGAATCTTGCGACTGGTGTCATATCCCATGCTGGTGTGCTAGAACTAGTTGCTATCAACCTATGTGTGTCTTATCGATGTGCTTCCAACCTAGTCACTGATAATCGACTATTGATGGAATTATTGTAGTTTCTCTGGTGACTTCGGATGGTACTCCCAACCGAGAATCGCGATTTGGGTGGAAAATATGACGGAACAATGTGGTTTTGTCCTGTGTTTCAGCGTCGCACTTGAGTGGATGGCTGTGCTCCAACTTGCTATCCGTGCCAAAGCCAAGGTGGACGTTGAAGTTCGCACCAAGAAATGTATTACTCCAAACCTTACTACTACAACAGATTCTTGCATCATTATCACAGTGACGCCTGGTTGAGCTCATCGATCAGGCAATGATCAAATTTATCATCGAGATCATTGAGCCTCAATGAACCTGTACGACGGCACAGTAAGTGCAGGTACGTGTTCGGCCATCATGATGAAGCCCTATATCATGTGAATCTGATGTTCATTTAGTCTTCATAGGGATGGGCGCGAGATGGGCATCATATATTTACGAGATGAGTTAGCTGAAGAGTCAGCCATTTACTTATTATGAACCAGGACCATCCGAGTCTCTCGGCCTTCGAGGCTGTAAATGTTGATGACTTCACCGTTGCATCAACTTCGATGCAAATTAGGTGCAGTGTATTTTGCGTTAAACCTTGTTCATCATCCTTATCGGCAAGATGACGAAGGCGGGGAGCGAGAAGGTGCACATCAGATACTGAGGATGAGGACAGAGATTGGACATCGAGACGTGTGCGTGGTGGGGGTTGGTAGCCCGAGTGACACAGGTGGGTTATCGTTATCTATGGCGGCTTGCGGAATCAGACCCTTTTTGAGTGAGCCTCGAGGATCGAGCTATCAGCGAGAATGCGATGCTAACATCGGTCAATAAATGCCGAATCATCTTCTCCAATACTCGTTTCCACGATAAAAGCGCTGAATAGTGGTATATCTAGCACGAACACTGTCGTCATAATGCCCTCCAAGTCCACGCTTACTCCCATCCATCCCCAAACAGCATGTCTCTAATCTCAAACGATCCCAGTTGGTGGCCTCTTATTAATGTGACTCGTATTGCCAGCTATTTTGTAGGTTCGTGCGAGCCAGTCGGATGGCGACGATGGTGTCTCGATCTAATTTTGATTGCGGTCTCGCAGTTGCCTCTTCTGCTGCGCTCATGTATGATTGGGGTGAGCAGTGTAGTATTATCCAGAATCGCTGACACACATGATATTTTCAGCCCTGACGTTCGCACAAGAGGTATGTTGATGTCAGTACTGCAGCAGTCATCTCGCTAACAATGGCTTTACAGGTTGAACTGATTTGGGTGAGCAGAGTGCCCTGTCGAAAGAACTATTGTGATATACAATTAATTTGTGATAGAAGCAACGTTGGTCCCTCATGACTTTTCTGTATCTCGGTGTATGTATCTTGCCTCATAAATGTGGTTGTAAAGTTGTGCTGACTTTAATTTATCCTAGGTACGCTATCTTGGACTAGTATATGCTGTGTACGTTTGCAAGGTTTAATCACCCGGCGCGCTTACCGATCATCTCCCACAATCAGCAACAGTATCTTGTGTATGTCTCCTCACACCTACCTTACGTATTCCTTCTGACAATCAGCATACAGTCGATATCCCGACAATCTCGTTGACCGTTGTAGTAAGTATTATGCAGCAATGCTCACCTGTTCCAATCAATTACACTACCATGTAGGAGTAAGTGAGATCCTTGACCAGCTCATTTGTTTCATATAATGACGGCTACAGGTGTGAGTTTGTTGTCAGTGTGTGATCCTGATTCCTTCGAGGTCACTAACTGGATTTGTCAGGCCAGGTTTTGGGCGGCATACAAGATTGCATAAATATTATTATAGCTGTAATGCTGGGCGGTGAGTTATTCACCTGCAATACCTCAGTGATATTGATTTGACTAAAATATCATGCAAGCCATCATGATCACTCGGCTATATGCGATGTATCAGCGGTCCACAAAGGTCCTGATATTTCTCTTATCTGTCTTCGTGCCTGTCAATATCGCATCTGGAGTGAACCTCGTTATAACAATGAGGAAATTCTCCGGCGGTAAGCTTAATTATATATGACAAACCCAAGGGCATGGGGCTGATTGACAAATCCCAGCGGAGCTCATTCTCTCCGGCACCTATCTTTGCATCATTGACGTTGCGGCAGATGTCTTAGTTCTCAATAACATACTTTGGATATTCAAGGCTGTATATGAGATCCTCACGCTGTGTCTCGCAGCCCGGATTTCTGTCAAACACTTTCGTGAACTGCGACGACACTCGTCAGAGGGAATGATGAAGGATTGTTACTCGGTGTTGATGCAAACTCACGTGTTCTACTTTGCCAGGTGAGCTCATATTGATGTGGTTATCTTTTCCGCTGAAGTTCCTGAAGCGCTAGCGCTGTTGCTATTTCTGCCCTCCTCCCGGCTTATTTATATCCAGCATTATCAGCGGTATGTTTATTTATAATTGAATTCTATGTGATCACGGTTCATCATGTCTATAGAATCCATACTCCCCGGTAGTTATTGTTTACGACGGCATCTCTCAAGTTTTCGAGGCCGTGCAGATGTTTGTGCTGGGACCGCGCCTGATCCTTAGCATACGAGAATACAACGCTCAACTCGTGGCCGATTCCGATGCAGCAACTGCCATGACTTCGATTGCATTCCAAGAGCACGTGCATGTGTCAACTAGCAGCAGTGTGTAGAGCGGGAGATGCTCGATGTGATTGATAACCGTTGGGTACTTCTGTTGAGAGCGGGAGAGGTTATTCAAAGTTTTGTCGTGGTGTGTTTGGGTTATTTGGCATTCTGGAGGGTACTTATTTAAATTATTTGATACTTGTATGTGACGTTCGATCAAAAGACTTAGGCGCCCGACGCCTAAGTTACCAACTATTATATCGACTGGCCTTGATATATGCATACTGAATCATCTTCATCATACCACTGAAAACCAGCCTCTTCCAGGGGACACTTTGACCGTGCCAAAAATGCCTTTACGTGCAAACAGACCTACCAGCCCCAATCATTGCAGATTGTAGCACCAGTCGACTGGTATTACAAGGCGCAAAGGGTGAATCATCAGGTTAATTATGGATGCAAAGTAAACTACTCACAGTGGCAGCACAGGTACTATCTTGATTGCAGCAGTCACCGGTCTTGGTGCAACTCTCGCCATCTGCTCTGCATGCACTGACAGACATTATAGATGCTGTAAGCGCAACAATAACGTTGAGGAAGGAGAAACGCATTGTTGGTGTGAGGTGGTATGAACTGCTGAGGTGTCCGGGAAATCTCTTTGAGGACGGTAGAGAGATGATTTTCTTTTATACCATTGCGACAAATGATGTTTAGTGCTTTAGTTATATTCTAAGTCAGTACGAGGCACGAGCACGTGCTTAGAATGAGGTCTATGCCTGATGCGAATAAGCGAGCGCGAGTCAATTTTCTTCCTCGCGCTCACTGCTAAGCAAGTTTTTCTGGTTGTTGCTGCACAACTTATAGGGTCAAAACAGAAATAGGTTTCAAACTTGTAAAAAAATATCTTTTGGTGGGCTGGTACATATCATGGAGGGTACTTCTGGGATGGATATGAGCCAACAATTAAGAAAAACGGCGGTTCGGTTGTGGAGATATGTCCAAAATACTGATATTTGAGCCTACCTCCCATATCACATGAATGCCGACCTCCGGAAGGTCTGAGACCATTCCCAATCGATTCAGAGGCCTCAAATACCCTAGGAGAGATGTTTTCGGTATCGGTATTGAGGCGGAACACCGGGATAGTGACATATATGAGGTCAGGAGGAGGGGGAGGACCCTGTATATCTCAGGAACACGATTTTTCCGGGCAATTCTGGCTTCACCATCGTGTTCAGAGGGCTCAATAACCCCCAGGAAAAATGCTTCTGAAGGACAGGCTAGTCATATGAAGTCTAGAAAAATCGATCTTTGGGTGAGGGAGCATGGCCTTGGTGGCC